AGACAAAAGAGCACCTAGAAATAGAGGGCCATCCTTCTGTTTTACTGAGATGGATTGGATGTCATGGTTATGAAATGTGGAGACTGAAGCTCATTCTCTAACCCTACAATTAATTTGCAGGAACTGCAGCCAAAATGCCCTTCTGTGGAAGTCTGTGCTCCAAGCGAGCCTAAAGCTCCATCCCTCTGCCCCCGTACTTTGTCTTTGGCCTTTTTGTTCAGAAGGTGCCAATTACTGAGAGGTCTGGCAGGGGTTTTGCTGAGGATTGCATCTCTGCACTGACAATTGAACTTGGCTCTCCAAAGCAAATCCACACAAGTTGCCTGAGCTTGGAGCCAGGGCTGCCCCGCATCCCATGCTCTCCTGCTGCTCTGCAGGGCTGCTGCAGCTTGTGGCCATGCTTGGAGCCAGTTTGCTGCTAAGCTGACAATTCTGCCTTGTTTCACGATGCTGCCAGGCTCCTATGCAGTGTGTTGCAGGGCACAGAACAAATTCAGAGCTCCTCTTCCTACCTGGGCCTCTACCACAAGTCCGCCACAGCCTGTTCTGCACTGCAACCCCTCCACAGGACCTTACTGCCTTCAAAACAGATGGTTTGCTATACTCAGTAGAAAGCCAAACATGAAAAAGGGAAGGGAATCCTGACATTTTACGGTTAAGCTGGTATTTGGGACATGCCAATTTGCTACCAAAATTGCGATAATTTGCTCATGTTTAATTAATACTTAAGTGACGTTTCCCCAGCGCAGCCCTGTCAGTTACTCAGAAACTGTAAGACACCTCCTTACTGCACATTATAAAACCTGCATGCTGGTTTATTTCTGCTTCAATCATCTCCAAAGGTGTTTCACACTCCTGTCTCTGAAGGCTCCTCTACTGGGAAGGAGGAAGTGGTGTTACACAGACACACTGCTCCTCATCCTCAGTCCTCTCCAGGGCAGGTGAAAGGGAAATGGTGTTTTCTGCCCTTTGATTCCCTCCTCTCCACACCATGCTGCTGTCTTTATGAGGGATATACAATATCTGTAAGATTTTCAACATGTCCTCTTTATCTCCCATTCCAGCTCACTAATCTAAATCATGTTTTAGCTTAATGGTATAAGGCCTGCTCTTTCATTTACTCTTTTGTGTAGCTTAAATTGCAATTTTTAAAAATGGCTTAGTACTAGTCCCACACTGAGATTGTGTTTAGACTTGAACTCTCGTTCCAAGGAAGGATTCAAAGGTCATAACAAACTTGCCTGCGCAGCACTCTGCTATACACACCCATACACGAATTCCAAGGCTTTCCAAGGGTCACTGCCACTGTCCCCAGGAAACAACCAGCTGCACTCCAGGCGCGGCCAGCCATGCCACAACCACAAGGCCTGGGTGAGGGCGGAGCCCGTCCTGCCCTGCAGTGTCCCGCGCTTCTCCGGCAGGGGCCGGGATGCCGAAAGTGCGGGACGCTCCCTTCCCCTCGCCAGCCTGCAGCCCAGCACAAAGCCGTGCCCGACGCCTCTGGCTGCCCTGACTGAGAGCATCCATCCTTTCTGCCTTCTTTCCAAGCACGAGGCGCCATCCCATAAAAGAAGGCGCTCCTGCCTTCAAAAGGTTTCTGTTCGTGGGCCGTGGCCTGCCCTGAATCAGCTGCATTCACCAGCCAAGCCTCCGTCTGGGGCTGCTCCTCCCTGGCTGCACATTCGGTGGGACACCGAGCGGGAGCCAGATATAAATCTCCTGCTCAAAGGAAATATTTAGCAGCAAAATGAGTGGAAAACAAAAAGACTTCTCTGTTACTTACCCAATGCTCTCACTTAGGGCGGCTCTATCTAAAGAAGCAGGGATCTGAGTGCTCCTGTGTGGAGCACCCACATGGCTTCGGGCCCCGGCCCAGAGATGCAGAGCTTTGTCCATCGAGTCCTGTGCTTGGTGAGCCTGAGAGCCTGCTTAGGGCAGGGAGGGGAAAAACCTGCAATGTTTTCTCTTAATTCTGAAAAAGGAAAGCTCAAGACACATTAACACAACTTTATGTACTTATTAAAAGCTGAGGAACATTAATCCACAGCTTATGGGTATTCTGCCCTTATTTCCCTCTGTGTGAGCTGCTCTGCAATACAAGATGTAAGATGCAGATCAACTTTTTTTTCTCTTTTTATTGTAACTTTGATTGTGTAATGCAGTCTGCAAAGGCCAAGTCTCCACATGAATTCACTGAGATGACGGTGCTCCAGCTCTCTGACACAGAAACAGGATGGGTTTCTATTGCAAAATAATTACCACAGAGATAGATAACCATTTCATAGGCAACAGCACAAGAGAGACACAGCTAAGCCATTGCACTAGAACTCAAGGACGTACTTTTGGAAAGGAGGAAGTGCAGGATAGGGCATGTGCCAGCATCTACCTGACAGAGACACTGTCAGTGATGCTCTCACTGGGGCTTTGGCCACAGAGGATGTCTGCCCACTCCCAGCCTGCAGCCCATCACACACTGCCTGCTTCACCAGCCCAGCTCACTTTGCCACTAACAGGCAGCAGGAGGTCTCAGCAGGTTGCTGAAGCTCCTGCCAACAGTCCCAGAAGCAGGCCCAGTGTCTGCAAGGGACAGAGGGAGAAAGCCCTCCTCACTGAGGACCCTGCCTGCCCACCAGCGGGACCAGCACGAGGGGCTGGCTGGGACCCGCTCCCTGCAGAAATGTCATCACATTCTGTTAATCCAGCAGAGAAATGTGAAGAAACACATGACCTGCAGGAAGCAGAAAGAGATGCAATGCACATGTCCTTATGTCTCTGCTTCAATTCTTGCCCAAATTTCACCACTCCTGTGCTCACTCAGTATCTTGCAAAGTAAAGGACTAAGCATTACACACACAATTCAAAATTTATCTTTTACAGTGCCATTAGTTTAGCTCTGTATGACCAAAAATTAATTTTTAAAAATCTGTTTATCTTTTATCTAAAGTACAAGCCTCAGTGTTATCCTTTGTTTTCAGATTTTTACTTTATGGTGCAATCATTACCTTGAAACCTAGACTGGTAAGGCTCAAAATTCTTCAAAAGTACTGCTGTTTGAATTTTAGTCATGTACCAAAAGAAATGCACACATTACACAAAAATATTTTCCTGCTTCGTCTCTACAGTTCCTGAAAAACTGCATATTGTGGACTTGGAGATAAATGTACTGGAGAAACCAAAACTACATGAATAGAGGAGACCTCAAATGGTCACTGTGATCTGTGACTGTCTATATACACCTTATATACATATGACTGTCTGAGAACCTGTATTCATGACTGTGTACAGTTTACATCCTGCACACATTAATTTGTCTAAGGGTTTTTTTTAAAAAAAGAATTGTTTTACTCTACTGTCAAAAAGTATTTACCCTGTGGTGACACAGCAAACATGATTACTGGTTTTACTCTTACCCTCCCAGCACCACTGCTCATTAACCATAAACTGATTTAGCAAATCTGTCAGTTAGCACAGTAATGTCTGATTTTTTTTCTTATTGTATTTGCATATGTAACAAATTGATACAAATCTTTCCAATAAAATGTAAAGTTCATTGATACAATGCCTTTAATGATGGCCATAACTGGTTACTAGTCAACTCAGTAGTTTTGTAGAGACATTTTTAGCTGAACTTGGAAAAATAGGAAACATATTGTAGTTTAAAATAAATGTACATAATATACAATATATATATATTTATACACATGTGTATGTCTACATACACATATACTGATAAAACATTTAAAGTAATGTTTAGTTTTGATCAGTTCTCTGACTGCTGGGACTACCTGGCAAATAAATCTAGAAACAGAATTTGTCCACAATTAAATAATAATTTCCACAACTTAGAAAAATATACTTTTACTAAATAAGGTTTAAATTAATTGATTTATGGATATAGGATGGAGGATCATGGTTTCCAGACTCTGACATGATTAAATCTGAAAGGACCCAAGCTACTACAGACCAGTAACAAACGCTGCCCCGCAGCCAAACACAGAAGAGCACAGAAACACAAACTGCTGCCACAGCAGCACTGGTGACACCCAAAACCTCCCTGCTTCCCTCACCTCTTACACAGCCTTCATTTCCACCCAGCCTGAGTCTCCCACCCGACCTCACGCTGTATTTAAGGTGCACTCCAGCCACAAGCACAGCTCCGCAGGGCTGATGGGGATGGCTCCTTGCTCCCACTCAACACTGCCTTGAGAGCCAACAGATCATCAAAGCCCCTAATTTTCAGCTTGGAGGACCATCAGTACTTGAGCTTCACCACATGGATTTTGATCTACTGCATAGGTAAATACATTACAGCAAAACATACATCGGTGTGTGTGTGCGTGCATGTGTATAGAAGCATATATACACATGCACACACACGTGAGTACGTGTACATCTCTGTATAAAAAATTTCATGGAACTGTATCTGGTAATGTTATCTAGCATGATATCCTGCATACGTTATCTGATCTTACTCTTTTTTAATATAGAGGCACCAGAAATAATTATAGAGAACAAATCAACCTTTAAAAATTAAAGTTAGGTCAGTGGACAAGAACTTTGGTAAAGCTTGTCAATATTTATTTTTGTTTTATTCAAATACAGTCAAAGTCTATCAGTTGCCATCACCCTCTTCACAAGAGGAAAGTGCATGTCTTTTTCCTAAAGAAAATTATATGTAAGGTGGGACTTAATGATTCAAGAAAATTCTGAATTAAATGTTTATATTTTTCAAAAGATTACTATCTTTCCGATGGAATGAATGCTAAATAGAGTTCTTGTCCTGTGTGTATTTTATTTATCAAATGCATATATATATATATAAAAATATATATATATGTATGTCTCTGTTCATGTACCTGTGTGTGTATATACACATCCACACACTTTCAACATGAGAGAGGAACCTGTTTTTCTCCACTTTTTATGAGGAGACTCCCACGTTCCTCCCTGTCTTGTACCCTGTGCAGTATAAGCTCTAGTGATGAGGCCAAACAAAAAGATATAGTTCACCATAGTATATTAGTTTATGTAGCAAAGTCATTTTCAAGCAAGTAAAATAAAGCTCTGTATTCCAAACTTCTTTTCCATTTCTGATCAAGAAAAGGAAGGAGAAGGAGAGAGGGGAGGGAGTGGGGTTATGGCAGTAGCATTGAGCCAGTGGCACGTGGCGGTGTGAGCGTGCGAGCGCAGGTCCGCACACACACAGGCGCACAGGAGCGGGGCTTTGGTTGACAAATGCAGATTGTCCAGAGAAGGTGGATGCATAAGTAAGGAAGACTCTACAGTGATGCAATTGTATCTTTTACGCTTGCATGGAGTGAGAAAAAAAAAATTCAATTGGAAAAAAAAAAAGAAAAAAAAGAAGCAAAGACCTCTTTTTAGGTCCCTCATCAGTGAGAGCATACTCAGTATGCTAGAGAATTTATCTGAAACCTTTTAAATCAAGGCCTCTTTATTACAAAAATAAAAATGAACAAACAAAAAAGTATGAGAGACGACAAGATGCTGAAGCGTCACTCCAATCGTCCCTGCAGAGAACAATTGCATCCCATTTATTATTCATTCTCTTCTCTCATTTCTACGATGTCTGTCATTTCCTCCGTGTGAGGCATGTCGGTCATTGCAGAGTCTTCACCTTCTGCAGCTGTCTCATTCTCATTCCTCTTCTTTTTCTAGATTGAAACAAGCATCCAGAAACCTATCAGTAAGTTGTGCATGAACACTCTCCCATCAGCTTTGGACACTGAGGTGGGAGAAGTGAGGTGAGAATATGGTTTGTTAGAGTATGTTATTAAAAACTAGAATATTTGTGTCATATTTGTGGCTTGCCACTAACGACTTGGCTTAACTTAGAAGATTTCTGTAGCCTTCCTGGGGCTCAGTTTTCTCCTTTCTAACATAAATGCAATCAGGCATTTCTTATGCTAAGCGACATCCAAAACAGGCTTCAGCAAGACTGGAGGGAAGAGAGCATCTGGAATCTTTTACATCACAGACTTCTTATTTAAAAAAAGGAAGGAAAACAAAATGTGAGAGAAGAAAAGCTTCTCTCGGGAGGGAGGTGAGGTGGCAACCTAATTTCTCAAATGTCAAACTTCAGGAATTTTACAAGATGTGAGCATTCCGGCTTTTCTTAGTGTTGCTGATCCACTGTGATCTCTTGCCTCAGCAAAGGAAAGTAATATTAGAATATTTTTGGCCAGCAGGAGCAGGAGGTCATTCAAGAGTCCTATGATTCATCCAGGATGTCCTGGATTAGTAAAGCTAAGAAGAGTTCAGGCCCCTAAAAAACAAGTTGAAGCATCTGTTCCTTATTACCCATTTCTCAGCAGGCTGACTAGTTTTACTGAAAACAATTGTACAGCAGACAAAATATTCCCACAGGTATTATTGATTCAGCTGAGATGGGTGTATCAGAGTTCCAAAATTTCAGAGGTGTCTACATAACATTTGATCTGCAGCTCTCCAACTGCAGGTCAGAATAACCTGGTGTAATAGAGCTACTGGTTGGCTCTGCCACTGTGACACTGAATAAAGAATAAATTAGGCTGGCACAATTATTACTCCTATTACCTGCCCTCACCACTGAGAAAAACGAAGCGCAATGTCCCTGGCCAGAAAGACTCTGTGAGCTACTATGGTAACAAACTAGCAACGAGGATGTTGTGAAAACAAAGGTCAAGACAAGTCATTTCAGTGTCTTAAAGTTTTACTCTTTGGTTCTCAAGGCAAACATGATAAATTAATCATGACAGACATTATGATTCTTCTGTTGTCTTATGAACCTTGTACACTTTGAACTTGTGCCAAAGCCTGCACTGTCAACACATATCAAAACTGATTTTAGGTGGTTCCAATTTAAAGCTTTTAGGTATTCCATCTTCTGTAGTTTGGTTTTTTGTTTTAAATAGAAGTGGTAGGTATTTCCACTTGGCACTTTCTAAGAAGTCTAATTAAAAAAAAAAGTTACTGCATAGCTTATATTTTCTGTTTCCATCCACAGAGTCCTCCTGTACTACAGAATGACATACACACCTTGCTGGTTCTGCTTGGAGCTGGACCTAGAGCCCTACACGGTGCCTTGAACACATAACTGAAAGGGAACAACATGCAGGTACTGCAATGTACCCAGACACCCAGCCAATATTTACCCTGTGTTTGACCTAATTTAGTAGAATCTTTTTCAAAATCCATATTTCACTGCTACTCCACACATGCAGGATTGTAGTGCTTAAAGTATGTAAAAAAGCACCTGTTTAATTATTTATAAGCTCTAATTGTCAACTGCTGCAGGAGTATGTTTTGTTTTAAGCCACTCCTCTGGACAGCAAAAAACCATAAGCATCTGTACTTCTTGTTGAATTTCAGCAGAGCTGGTTTTATAAAGAAAAAAAAGTGTATATACAGAGATATATGTACTACATAGTGTATACCTACAGATGTAAATGTACATATACACTATGTAACACTACATAACACCTTCCATGGGAAAGAACTTGGAACTTTAAGGTTTCTTCCAATCCAAACCCTTCTGTGATTCTGTGATTCTATGATTCTATATACATATAGATACACATATTGTAAGCTTGGATGAGTAGTTCCTACACCCACATAAAGACGCTGAGTTGTACTGCAGCAGCTAATATACAGCACAAAACTGCTGGTGGTAAGGTCAGGATGTCCATGATACATGTGTTTAGAGGAGCAAGAGGCTCTCTGACCGAAGATCAGCACGTCCCATGGCCTAGATGCCCAATAACAGCTGGAGGGCACCTTTTGGTTTTATTTCAACCCAAAGACTTTCCAAGCTGCACACTTCTGAGACTTGACAGGGAAGCAAACCAAAGTGAGGATTCTGGGGAGTTGCATTGCTAAAGTGTAACTTAATCTGAAGTAAAACCCACTATATTCACCACCTGCTTTCATCAGATGCCACAGAGACTAATTCTTACCTGTTTCCTATAGACGTAACAGGCTGCTATTGCAACCATGGTGGATTCTCCTACAAAACCAGCGAGAAGGGATCCTACTCCAAGAGTGGCTCCATGAACTCTGTTGGAGGCATAGAAAGAAAGCAGTCATTGTTGTATGAGAGTGCATGATTCATAATTACATTTTCACTGGCATATATAACCACTCTGATGATAGAAGTATTTTCTTCAAAGACACAATACACTGCCTAAGAGAATAACTGGTATTTTAAAGGACTCGTTTGTTTTTAATGGCTACACTGTTTAGTAAAAGAAGCACACTGAATCAAATTATGGACTAAGAATTTAAAGTCTTGTACAGAGTGCTGTAGAATAGATTATTAAGCTTATAAACAAGATATTGTTCCATTAGCTTTCTTAACAGTGAGTTTAATAACATGGAAATAAATTCCCCTTAGGACACATTTTGCCTCTTTGACATTTGTGTATTTTTTCCAAAGGGACATCACAATTGTGCCTGTCTACAGCAGTCATGCTTGTACATTTGTAAATGTTTCTTTTCCAGATAGTGACACTCTCTAGGCCTTGTATCATGGTTAGTATGTGGAGAAAATGTTCCCAGCTATGCAAATTCAGCTATCCAGTGACAGGGAAGAGGAATGAAGAGGAAAGCAAATCCAGGGGTTCTGTGAGGAATAACGATTTACCCTAAGTAAGGCAGCACGATGAGACTGGTGATGAGGACGATAATGCGCAGCACTGAGCTGGGTGCCAACACAAATGTCTTCTTCAGAGTCATCAGCCAACCAGTCAAGTGTGCTCTGACAGTCACTGTTCATAAACAGGGGAGAAAAAGAAGCAAGAATAGTAAAAAAATAAAGTCAGTAATTTCATATGCAGCTTTTCCATGCAGAGAGCACTGTTCAGAAATAACTACTGCAAAACTTACTGCTGGTAACTTTGCACCCTACTAGAAAGCAAGTAGATCTTGTGTTAAAATTGCCCTAATATACTGATTTGGGAAAATGAAGAAACAAAAAAAAATCAGTTATGGACAGCACTTGTTCCTAAAAGCTGTTCTATTTAGAGAACAATTTATTGGTCAGTCCATTCTGTTTTCCTCATTAAAAAAACCCCAAACTGTCCCCTTCCTTAAAAAGAAGTTCTGCCAAGGAAAAATTTCCATCTGGCTCCTCTGTGGCACAAGGTGTAACAGGTACAAAAAGGGTATCTACATGTACTTATTATTGTATTTGTAGTTTACCTTTATTATGAAACTGTCTTGTCACATAAGCAGAAAAGACTAAAAGATGTTGCGTTTAATTACAGAGATAGAAATCTGAAACAATTTGATTATTGTTGTCCACCTTGTCTTGCTCTTTGATAGAAGTATTAACTTTTATTATATGATGCTTATGCTCTGAAGGAGCCACCGAGGTCACAGAACTTTTATTTTCTTTATATTTTTTTACCTGGAAGTGGAAAAAAGGAGAAGATGCGCAAAGGAACAACACACAGCTCTGCGAAAGCGAAGTCTACTCCAATTATGTCAACTAAAATCTTCTCTGACACGTTTGGCGTCCAAAACATCACAAAACAGAGCTAGAAAGAACAAAATTTTAAAAATCTTTATATTTCAGAAGGGAAGCACAAGAAAAGGTAGACCCTCCTGGACTAAAATATTTGTTTACTTATGAGTAGATAACTCTACTAATGGTAAATATACATAGTATAGATTTCTATTTAGCTTGCATTTGAATACATGTGTGTACATAAGAGAGATACCTTAACTTCAGAAGCAATTCCTATTCTTAATTTTCCTCACATACCAAGTGTGATGCATAGAGAAAGAATTTTTATGGTTTCTGCAAGTGGTTGTACTTGAATGGTGCATTGTTATTCAAACAGTAAACTCCCAGATTTTTACAGCACTTCATCTGGTTAAAACACTTGTACTCCTAAACAGATTATCAGAATTTTCAGTAACTAAAGATTTGAAGTCCTCCAAGACCCAGAGATCTGACCTGAATCTAAGACTAGGTGTTTAAATTTGCTGCTGGAAAGAGTGCTGTTGGTATGCAGTAAGTCTGCAGCAAGGCAAAGGTGTTCAGCACAGTCCTGCAGACATGGTGCTCTCAGGCTACAGATCCACTAAGTCTTGTTATTTTCATTAAAGAGTGTACTGTTTAGTCCATACAGGAAAGGAAGATTTCCATGAAAAACCCATGGCAATTGGTACAGTGGTAGTACATGCTGTTTAATTTTTTGGCCAGTCCTGAGGTTTCCATCTGAGCTGAAGGGGGTGTTGGCAGCTGCAGTTTTGGCTTCAGCTCAAGACATTCACTGAAGAACAGTCCTGACAGTCCTTACAGGACTTTCCCTATAAGAAAGCATATCTTCAGGTATAACTACTCTGTAATTTAATTTGATTTTGTATATAAAAAATTACTTCTTATTGTTATTCTTGTAACAATATTCTTATGACAATTATTCTTGTTATTCTTATATTGTTATTTATTGTAAAGTGAATATTATGGAAGTAAGCTGACTGAATGGTGCAAAACTGGGGACCTTAAATGCTCTGGCATTTAACCTGACTCCTCTTGTCACGTTACAAATCTGTGCACCCTGTAAATTATGCACATTGGCTGTACAATAGAGTCTGTAAGACTCTATAACCACTCTGTGTACAATTTAGCCTACCACCTAGGATCATAGCAGCTAGGTCTTTTCTTTTTATCCAGTTGTCACATCCCTACATGTTCAGATGACTTTTCAAACTAGTCTCTGAAGTCCTACCACCTCTTAGACAGCTGGGATTTCATTCTCATTCTTTGATAGGGTGTCAGAAATTGTTCTTTCTGCTTAGCCTCCAAGCACCCCGACTGCAGGAGCTTCCCAAGGCTTGTCACTGAGCAGCCTGTGGGAGGTCCCATGTTCTTACCTTCTGTGTGGTGAACAAAACATTTCACATTCCTGCATAAAGGTCCATCTTCAGTTTTCTTCTCCACTTCTTAGAGTAGGAACTACTATTTTTTTTGTTACAGTTGCATGTTTTACTTGACTAATTTGATGCTGTCTTGCAGTGTATCTCCATCACCTCTACACAGAACAGTAAGTGGAGGAAGGCAAGAGCAGAAGACAAAAGAACTGAGCACTTCTTGTGCCAATCTGCTTGTACAAGGTATGACTGAAGCAGAGGGGACATCTAGAGCAGAGGGGGTTGTATGGTTGAGAATTCAGTTATTAAAAAGTAACTGTACAACAACAGAGTGAATTCTTTCACTGCTGGAGACACCCTTAGGCAGACTGCAGTCACTTGCACTCACTGCAAATCATCCATAAAGCAGTCATACAGGGAATATTTTGTCAAATCTTTCTTCAAAGCCCAGGAAATAAAGTAAGATATAAAGATGCCCACTCTTCATTTATAATTTGCTCTTTTCATGAAAGCAAGGACCTTTACACAGCTTGCACTGCCCAATGCCATTTAGTGCCATAATGAGCAGTATAGTTGCTGCTGCTGCTGCCACATTCCACACGTGTATGCTAACAGCAGCGCCTGCCCACTGCTAGCAAAAGGCAAACAGCAGTCTTTCCCTCTGCAACAGCCACTGGAAAGTGTTGAATATGGTTAGAGAGGCAAGCAAATGAGTGACCAAAGGTACTGTACTCAATTCTGCTCTCTCAAGGTTTTCTTCTGGCCCTAATAGGAACAATCCCCACCCCGCTCCCACTGGAGTAAGGTCAGGTTGCCAGTCAGGGAGAATGCCTCACACTCAGGTGGTGAGTGGTCATTCCCCCTCAGCTGTTGCAAACTGCAGTCTCCCCCACCCCTGACCAGCAGAGAGCTGTGCTGGTAAATGGCTTCAAAGAGCACTTACACAGCAGCTGGTGGGTAAAGACTGCTAAGCTTAAGAATAAGCAGTTTGAGGAGGTGAGGCATGGCAGCAGAAGGACCTTCTATTTTTGTCTCAGCATGCTTCCATCCTTTTGGTTGCAGTACTGATAACTAGTTTCATTTTGCTAAGAGAGCCCTCGCTATCATCTTATGGGATGATATTCTCAATGCCCACAGGGAACAAAGCATCAGGAAAATAAATTAATGCTTTGCATCATTCGAGCCCTCTGCAATTCAAATCCTAGAGTGCTTGCGACTTTACTGTTTCAAAGACGAAATGTAGTGGAAAAAACCCAGGCTCTACTTCAGGCAAAGAATAACACTAAACATGCAAAGCAGGAAGGTATTTCAGTTGCTAATTTTGTTACAGATGGCATGTTCTGAAAATAGGATGAAGTCAGCTTTTTTGTGATTCTGAGTGGTCCTTAGGATGATTGCTGTTATCTCAGTGAAAGGTGATGCCTGACAGAAGACTGGAGAAGATGGTAAGAGTAGTCCAGGAAAACGTGGCACAGACAACTAGAGATTGGCTCTACTGGAATATGCAGTGCCAACTTCCTGTGACTCAGATCAGGAAAGATTTTAGGAAGTAGATTTACCAAGAGGTAAATTATTACTACTGTTACTAATTATTATTACTGTTTCCTATGTTTCTCCTAAGTTAACCCTGTTTTTTCCCCCCACTTGCATTTCTATGCACGTCTGCAAGGTTAAATATAGAATAAATGGCTTGGTTAGGGTTACAGCTATACCTTCATTTAATCTAATCAAGAGATGAAGACTAAACAGTGAAAGCTTCTGCAGAGGCAAGCAATGTGCATACAGAGTGGCACTGCAGCTTCAGGCTGCAATTGCATTTTGCTGTTGAGTGTTGTAACTGGCAACTCTGCTGAGGCCAAAGTATTTCAGTGTTTTGGGAATAAGGATTTTTCTTGTAGAATTCTAGCAACAGAGCTTATTTGATTTTCTGATGCCTTATGGTATGAGTGCAGCATGATATTAAAGGATAGTTTTGTTAAAGACTTTGATTATTTAACTGGAACTTCAACTGACCAGTGATGAGTGCTTTAAAAATACAGGAAGAAACAAAGGTGTCAACAGCAGAGGGGAATGCTACAGAGAATAAGCAATTCTGCATAATGACAGTTGCATGTATTATCAATTGTATTGTCAACAACAGTTACCTAAGCATTTCTGAAGTTGTTTTAGTAATTTCAATTGATCTGAAGGGTTTTGAGTTTTGGTATTTTGCCCTCAATTGTTCTACACTAGTAAAATTTGAAAAACTTTACTAAATGTGTCAACAACTCACAGCACCATAAGGAAACTAGTGCAGCTGTACTAGCTCACATCAAAGCTCCAGCTAGATTAGTACTATCTCCCTGCTAAAGGTCACTGGGAGATGCTGAGTGGAAGGGCATAAAAAGCAGGGCAAGTGTAGTGTAAGAGATCCCTTTCCCAGGCTGCATGGGAGTTATGGCTTCAGGAGCTCAGTAATCCTGGTGCACCTTCAGCCCATGCAGGTTTTATGCTCTGTTATCTAATATTAGTGATTTTTTTTTCAATACAGTTGTGCATTAAAGTAGAAAATGCTCTCACTTGTGGCTTAGACACCCTCCTCAAAGAGGTGTGCCTATTTTTATGTGGAACCTGGCTATCTTCAGCTAACAAATTCCATGTCTAAGCATATTCAAAAGTCAAAATTAAAAACTTTTGCTGCCACCAAGCCTAAGAGAATGCACCAAATCACTTTTTTCCAATAGGGAAAGTACAGAACTGCTAGTGTTCAGTTCAATTTATCTTTATTCTCTTAAGTACAATTATATCATTTGACTTTCACAAATGATTGTGATGAAAGATTGTTCATGAGATTTTGTTTCAAAGGCTGCATGTGTGAGTCTGAATGCTTCTAGTTCTTGAAAAATAACAGTCTTTTCATAGGCCTTGCATCTCCTGGAAGCTATTTCCATTTATTCTGGTTGCTGACAGGGATTACTAAACCTCAGAGACCCACTAGATAATGCATTATAATACATTATGCTAACAAAGGCTATTGTCATGTGTATAGCAAACTGCAGGGTGCCAGACTGATTTGCTTTTCAGCACTTGCAGAAAACTGCCTATTTTTTGAGACATTCATTGATAAATATAAAGCACAAAATAGTATCTCAGTGAGCTATGAACAACAGTACAACTTTTCTAGACTTCATGCAGTCTTCAGTAAGAAGAAACACTGGCAGATGACAGAGACATGGTATGGCTCTATGTTCCTCAGAAAGAAATTCAGGAATCCAAAATGGATGTTTTTAAAAATAGGTTAGACATATGCCAACCTGGAATGAGTCTGGAATAACAGTTTTATTGTGGAAGATGGTTAACCTGGTAAAGGTTATTCTATGATGAAATGCAGTTCCTATTTTTCTCCTGCAAAAAATCTCTCAGCAGATGTTTCATGTATTTTGTTAAACCTGATATATTTGCAGAAGTATGGCTGTCCAAGTCAAGTGTTTTACCCTAAAGATATTGTTCTATGTGTGTATTGAGGATTGCAGCTTAATTTAACCCATGCCTTGTTCATTTCCTATTACCATTTATGCTACATGGTGCCCAGTGAGGGCAGAGGAAACCTACTTTGAAAATTATTGCACATCTTAGCTTTGAATTGCACCTAGGGTCTTTGGGATAGTATCAGCTAAGTTTT